CTGGGCGACCTGCTTCGACGTCGAGGAGACTGACGCCTCTCTCGATCCCTAGAACTCCTACTTCCTATGCGCGAAGGGTCACCACCTCAATTCATATCCCCACCCAGCTCAGCTAGCGTCTTCACTTCCCCTCTGCTGTTAAAGAAGAGTCTGTTCGACATTCACACGATGAATCTTCCTCCAAGAGCTGGAGTCAGTTGTTCACTAAGCTCATAAAAGTTGTACCTTTGTTCCTTTATCCTTTACAGAGGCAGCACCCTCGAGGCAATCTCATTAATTGTGAAAACCTCAATCATGTCCATGAGCCAACTACGGCAGGGGCAGATTCATCAATATATTCGGCTTATGCGCCCCAGCCGGCCCATGAATCAATTCTTCAGAACTCTTAAGTTCGTCTCTTTCGGCGCCCGAATGATCATGAACCGCCTGGGGTAAGGGAGGATTTATCAAACTATTTGGCATATGAATCCATGAGCCAACTACGGCAAGGGTAGATTTATTAATCTAATCGGCTTAAGGGCAGATTCATCAAAATATTCGGCATATGAATCCATGAGCCAACTACGGCAAGGGCAGATTTATTAATCTAATCGGCTTAAGGGCAGATTCATCAAAATATTCGGCTTATGCGCCCCAGCTGGCCCATGGATCGATTCTTCAGAACTCTTAAGTTCATCTCTTCCGGCGCCCGAGTGATCATGAATCACCTGGGGCATGGGCGGATTCATCAAACTATTCGGCATATGAATGATAAGTCAATATTGCTAAGATATTCAATCTTAGAAAGCTCAACAGAATAATCATTTTATCTAAAGTAGTGAAAGGCAAAAATTCTTCACCAGCACAACATCACAAACTGCGCACAAATAGTAGTGAAATGACAAGGTAATTTTCATTAATAAATTGAGCGCAGATAATAACCAATTTATATATGAAAACTACTCGGAACCAACAAAAGTCCTTAAAACAAAAACATACATCAAAAGTGAAAGAATGTCATAAAATTCGAATGCCTCCCAGATCAATCCTCGGGGTCAGACTCAAGTGGCTCAACGTCCACCTGCTCATATGGAATTAGCAAGGCCAATGTAACCCCAGCGGCATCAAGGGCCTTGAGCCACCCATGTTTGAATCTCCGATTCTCAAACTTGGGGACTTCATCTACGTATTCCTCGAAGGCGGCGCCTTTTCCTGCTTCAAATGCGGTAAAAGCCTCAGATTCGGCTTTTTCCTTGGCCGCCTTCAACTCTGCAAACTCAGTCTCCACCTTGTTAAGCGCCTCCTTGGCTAGCCTAAGCGATTCCTCGCTCGCGTTCGCCCTATCTTCGGCATCAGAACGGAGCCGATCGGCAGACCGAGCCCTTTCTAATTCAGCTTCAGCTCGCGCAGTCTCCATTGCGGCTCATAACCTCAAACTCGGCCTTGCTCTTTTGACTGTCCACTTCTGACTGTAAACGGTCAATCCTTTCAAGGGCATTATGTAAGCGGCGGCCCAAGTTGGTGATCCTGTCGACCGTCTGCAAAACGAATTGGAATCGTCAGATACCATAGGCAAGCAAAATCAAAACAAGTTAAGGTCATCTACCAAAAGGGCCGACTGCGCAGATAGGGCTACGGCCACCAAATTCGGCACGGCATGAAACGATGCCATATCAGCCGGTAGGGAGACTGAAGCCGCCAAGCTCAACGCTACTGCTGAGTCGGTAATAATGGATGCGTCAGAGGAAATCGGCGTGTCTCTGATCTTCGGCTGAACAATGAAAGGAACAACCACGTCCGAATTTTCTAAGCAAGGCCTTTTGTCAGCAGGACTATCTTCTGAACCGACTTCTCCCTCGGCGCTACGCTTCTTGCCCCTCTCTTTCGGAATCAATCGTTTTTCAATGATTGGTTGTTCAACCACGCTGTTTCGACCGCAACAATCTGAACCGGCTCATAAATAACGGATTTAAAAGACTCAATCAAGACAGGTTCAGAACGGATGGCCTCGGCCTTTTTCCTGGCGGCCATTCACTCGGCATTTTTCTTTCAAGCCATCTGCGTGAGGTTTTCCCCAGCCATACTTTCAAAACAATCGCCGAGTAGATCTCCCAAACTTGCAAAAATATCTCCAGAAGAAAACTCCGCCGAACCCGAAGTGGACGGTGAGACAGGCTGATTAAGTCCGGCTACCTCAAATGTCGAGTTTAGGTCCTCGTTGACCTCTTCGGCCTCCTCAGCGAACTCTCTGGCTAGTTCGGCGACTACCTCTACCACCGACACCACGTCTTGCCCCAAATCAGAAGCTTCGAGACCAACTTGCCTAAGGCTCTTGAAGCTAGGGAAGATAAGAGCCGCAAGGTGTTTATCGCTGGTTGGAATTGGATTGTTATCCGCGGCCGAAAAAGTAGTATAAGTAGGCTCGTATCGAAGAAGTATGTGGGCCGCTCTCCCTTGCTTCTGTACGTTTGGACGGCCGAAGTACTCGAGTGCAGTCGCAATCTGTGCAAGGACTGCGTCGTCAGTAGAAGTCAGAATCTTCTTCAATTTATTGCCTGCAAAGACAAAGGGTTAGCCTTGGAGAGAAGGCCGAGTAAAAGAAAAGTTCAATAAACGTAAGGAGATACACGGCCACTTGGTTCACCCTTCCATCTGGAAATAGGATCTAGGCAATCCTCGCCTTCGCCAAATTCCCAGTTCCCTCGGACATTGACCACCACGTCATCCACTCGCTTGCCAGAGCTGGCAAGCATGGATACCAAATGATGGTCAGTATCCTTGGCCCTAAGAAAGTACCACCCGAGCCGACCAGAAGATTTGGCTAAAGCATAGCAGTGCCGAATCACCAGAATGCCAAGATCGATCCTGAGGCGCCGGTTCAACTCTACGATCCCCATTACGATTCGAAAAAAAATCACATTGGGCTGAGAAGGAATCAGACCCCAATGGCGGAGGACGGCCCTAAGAAATGGATGTAGGGGAAAACGGACTCTGCCCTCCGCAATGGATAGGAGAGGCAAGATGATTGTGTTGCGATCCTCTCTCTCCATATCCAGAGTATTGTCCGTCACTAGAGATAGATGAACATCATCAGGAATAGAAAAATGTCGTCGGAATCCCGAGATACGACCTTCGGAAAGGAGATCTTTCAGGTGCTTAGCCATTTTAGCAAAGATCCGAGGGTATACTAAAGCTAAAATAAGCACGGAAAATAGGATTGCAACGAAAGAAAGAAAACTTACGACAGGTGTAGAAGACGAGGATAGACGGACGAAAGTTATAGAGAAAAGCGTCAGAAGAACGATACCGTCTGGGAATCCAGGAGGCCCAAGTATTCGAGAAAAGCATGCATTCGAAAGGACTGAAGTTTCAAATCATATTAAATGCAAAAGGTGCACGAATGAGGCGAGAAAGCATAATGATGACCAAAAAGACGTGCGCGGTCTAACACATTGGGATAGGCAAAGCCGCCTAATTTATGTCTTGGCTATTCAGAATCAAAACCAAACACGCCAGTTAACTACTGTCAACGGCGAGTTTGGGGGGCAGTAGACACCCCATTTTTGATCGACCTTAAGACTTAGACGTCACCAGTTGAGCGCTTGGTGATGTTGCATATCGCGCTCGTTCAGAACTCTCAAAGTCGCGGCCATGAGCCCTGCCTCCGGACTTCCGAACCCTCTCCTGTGCCAGAGAGGACAATAAGTAACGAGTAGGCCCTGGCCCCGAGGCCCAGTAAACGAGTATAAATACAGGAACTACAAAGAAGGGTAAGGATCTCTCCTTGTTTAACTTAGAATACAAGTAACCTAGAGCTTGAGACTGACTTGTCCGTCGAAGTGCTAATTTCAGCACCCACGTCGGAGTGTTTATTTCCTTTCAGGTGACTATCTGAGGAACCCAAGCGTCTCCCAGGATCCGAAGGGTATTTCCAAAACCATATCCCCACAATACTCATTATGGTTTGAGAATAGATTGCCTTTGATGTGTGGATGTCAATTTATATATATATATATATATAATTGAATGATATTTAATTTTTGTGCACTTTTAGCTATTAAATAGTTACAAAACATTTCTCAAATTTTGACTTTTAGCGACGAAAATGTGCAGTAGAGAAAGTCAATTGCCCTTTAGCGACCAAATATAATTGTGGTTAAAAATGCCCATATTTCGTTTTTTTCGACCAAATTGGGACATTTTGTGATGAAGTATTAGTGATGAAATGTTTAGTTCTGCAAAATCAAACATTTTGTGACAATATAAAATTCATTGCTAATTGCCATTTTTAGTGACACTTTTGAAAACTCGTCGCTAAAAGTCATTATTAACTTTTATGGACAGGGCTTTAGCGACGTTTCTGATGACGAATTTAATTTTGTCACAAAAAGCATTTAGAGGCCAAAATAATAATTTTATGGACCAAAATAATTGGTTGTTACGAGTCTCATATGTTGTAGTGGCCCTGCTTCAAAGCCTCCTCGCACAGCTTTTGCCTTCCCAGCAACCTTACTAACAAAGGGGGTCACCCTGTAGAGTATGGGACAGAGCTTGCTGGGATGTGTGCGAATAGGAAGGGAGCCAAAGCAATCTTCTTTTTTGTGTATGAATTAGATTTGATTGTCTAGGCTCGAAAATTGTACTACAATGAATACCATATGCATGACTAATTGATATCTTAACAAGCTAAATCTATTAGAGCAGTTTCAACCCTTTATCTTTCTTTTTCATCAAATTTGCTCAACAAATTAGTTTAAAATTTTGATTTGATATACTCACTCCAATAGTGAGAATCAAAAAACCTAAACGTTTCTTCAACCAATTTTGGTGAAAAAATCTCATCTCAAATCCTTCATCTTTTAACAATTTCATCGAACTTAAGTGGAGTTAGAAATTTGGTAAAAGATTTCATGCCTATCTCTAATTTGTTGAAATCTTTGATGAAAACTTGATTTGATATAAGTTTAAAAAAATATTTTATGAATGATGCTGTAAATACCTGTATCAGAACATAACCACAATAGCTATTATCATCACCTTCATTTCTTTCACTATTGCTTTACTTTATTGCATTTATGTGAGAATACATTTCAATTTGTAATACAACATGCAAGATACAACAATATTTTGTTTAGGGTTTGGATGATGATCTGGTAGTTAGTGAGGGCATCATTTTCACAATTTGTTCCTCATCAACCCCCATTTTCTTAGCAGCAATCCCTGCCTCGAAGAAGCGTTTCACTGCGTCCTCCATGTACTGCTTCCCTTCCTTCACGGTCATTTCCTTCCCAATATTCCCAGGAAAACTTGTGAGAATATCATCTCCTTTCAGCACTGCTGCAAGCTGTAGTAGCTCCTGCTGGAATTCACTCAGCTTGGCATCTTCGTTGGCCTCGCCTTCCCTGATCCGAACCGGAGTTGGTAGTTGCACTGTTGGAAATAGCAAAGCAACACAACATATTAGTAGTAATTACTAATTATTTCAGTCTGAGAAAGGAAATAAGTGTATATGCATGACTTGCAATGAAGAGCAGATACAAATAAATTATACAACTACAATACAAGATGGATAGTGACACGGCAAAATTTTAAAAATGAATAAATAGCAATGGAACACAACACAATACTGGTAATTAGATCAGTCTGTCAAACGAAATATGTTAATTGGTATTATATCAACCACTAGGTTTTCCGCTATCCCAAGAAACCAAACCAAAAAAGTAATTAAACAAATGAAACTCTAAACTAAGTAATCAACTAAGAGTTTAAGTTTGCTAAATTTAGGTGGCAAATATGAATGAATAAATCTTTATTTTCCAGATATGCAAAAATTTTGATGGTTTATGCGTTCGAGTTCTAGACAATACTCATCATTATTTTCAGATGCTACTGTGTTCTGCTTCTCCCAACACAATGGTTGCAATCTTACTATACTTTGTTGGGGGGAGAATCTTTGGATTATGCTCACAAATACATCACCTGTTTGAAGATTATGTAGGATTAAAAAAAACACGAGAGGGATGGGATTGTCTTCAGTCTTAAAAAAAGATTGGACCGTCCATTTGATCTTGTGGCCGACTCACTTCAACAATCCAATCAGTTAATCTTAAGCTCCCTATAAGTAGACCATAGGGTTGATCCAATAATAGTTGTAGAAATGATGATTTTTTAAATCATACATGTTTTTCACTTTTTGAAAGAAAAAATGATCAAATCATATGGATACGATTATTGGATCAATCTAATTTTTTTTTCATGAATGATATACACACAGAGATCTAGATGTTAAGCAAATCAAAAATCAAAGTAGGACCTAACAGTGGAGCAACATGGGGTGGATTGGACAGTTGAATCTATTAGTGGAAAAGCAGGATAGGAGGTGTAACAAGGGCGTTTAGCAACAATTTTATTTTATTTAATTTTTTTTTTTTTGAGATTTTCTTGGTGGGCTTTAGGCGACAAGCTAAGTGGCCTAGAAATTTTAACGGAATTGTATGACCTGTGCCCGTGGACTAGGTATTAAACAATGTTATCAAGAGATGAATGTTGTATTGTAGTGATAATATCAAACAATAACATATTGTCAACTTTAGAAACGAACTTTATGACAACCGAACCGGCCATATCAATTGTATATTGGATATGAATTTTTGTATCGCGAACCAACCAATGTACATGTGATTTTCATTTTACTGGTATATCAAGATATATCAGTATCAGGAAGCCAAAAACCAATGTGTATCGACCGATAGTTAAATCCTGGTCAAGGACTTGCAACCAAGAATTTAATTTATTTAGTTTTACCAGCTCATACATGTTTAGAATTAAATTCTTGTACTGGACAAGATTAAAACGATGAGATTTAATATCGGTGACTAACCAGGGCAGTCAGTTCTGGGTTCAGTCCGTGTTTGGACGATGCTTTCAAAGGTGCCAGCCCAAGCATCCCTCTTAGTCAGGAAGGAAGTCAAGTTGAAGATGTTCTTCACTGTTGCTGTGATGGATGAATGCTCATACTCTGATGTCGGAAATGGCTTTCCGTTGGGTCCATGGACAACTGCATTACCATCATAATCATGTTAAGTTTTCAAATAAATTACAGTTCTACATATTTAACTCATAACATAATTAAAACTAACATATATAATAGAAATTGTTTAGTTTTAGAGGTCTACATGCAATTCGAATTCTTCTTATTCTATTGAAACTTTTTTCTTTTCATTCTGTTATTTCTTATTTTTATATTTACCACCTCGTAGTTCTATTTTGGTAGGTTCTGTTACTTAGGGAAATTTAATGGACATAAGTGAATTTCGCATACCGCCGGACGGGAGAATATTCACTAATTTTGTCTTTTTACAAAGATACACCTTGGTAGTAAGGTCACCATTCCTTTTTAGCTAGACATATTGAAGTTGCTATTCGATTTTATTTTGAGTTGTAATAGAAATTAGAAACATAAGAACATAGAAGTATAATAATCTTGGTAAATTTTTAGAGGAAAATGACATGACACCATGTTTGAGGTATATTCTGAGGGGTTGGTTTCACAATTTTTAACAGTGAGAAATTTGTGTAGGGATAGGTGAAGAAAATAAAAAATGTAAGGGATTTGTGAGTGAAATCGAAAGTTATTTTTTCTTTAATTTTCACAAATTCTTTAATAAATTAAATAATTTTTTTATTCATATATGATATTACGATAAAACTCTATGAATTAAAATCATTATAATAAAAATCAAATTAACACATTTAACACAAAAACTTTCAAAAGTGGAAAAGAAAAACCTCAACAAATGCACAGGAAATATTGATCTCCTAGTGAGATACAAACATTCTAGCCAAACAGACTAAGGCCAAATTTGGCATGTCAGAAAAAAGATAAAAAGTCAAAAAATTACTTAAAAAGTTAATAAGTTATCACTATTCATCAAAAAAAATTAATTTTACACACAGCCGTACAACTCATCAATCTGACCCATTCAGATCTGTGCTACGTTTTGTAAGAAAAATTGCACAGTTGGGGTGCAATTTTAACACACTGTTGTTCGGCCCGTGGGGGGCCATCACAGGTCCCATTTTGATAATCTGAACCGTCAATGTGTAGAACTCGTCGAGTACTATATGTCTTAAAAAAATCACATTGATTGGATATCGATAATTACATGATCAAATAAGTTTTGTATAAAAAAATGGATGGTGTTATAATTAACAGTTGAAAAAAAACAAATCTGTTTTTACAAGCATATAGTACTCGATGAGTTTTACACATTGAATGGTTTAGATTATCAAAACGGGACCCGTGATGGCCCCCATGAGCCGAACAACCCCGTCCAGTGCAATGCCCAAAAAGTAGACAATTACTTCTTAGCATCTATTCCACCTACGCAGATAGGACAGCTGTACAACTCACACTCTCAATCTTCTCCTACACACTAATTTATACAATTTTTTAATACACATTTTTTCATAAAAAATCAAAACATTAACCCAAACAATCATATATTTTTTCCTCAACTTTTTAGTCTAAAAAGTCAAAAAGTACATTTATTTAAGACACCACATACAACCCCTAACTTCTTGGTATATAAATTAAAAATTCAAACGGCCTAAATTAAATCAAATGTCACTTTAGTGGGAAAGACTACTAAAGTGGTTTAAAAAAACTTTTCAAAAAGGAAAAACCACAACTGCATCCCAACCAGAAAGAGAGATAGATAGACGCTTTAAAGTTGCCATCAAAGGAGTCAATAATACATAACTTTAAGAAAGAAGGTATAAATGGTGGGTCTTCCTCATTTTCTTTCCATTTTCACACTTATTGTATGACTCACACTGCACTTTACATGAATCTAAGCTACAAAAATGTATTTCCTGTATAATTTTGTATGTTTTAATTTTGTGCACTTAACATTTTGTAATAATTAAAATTTCTCTGTTCATATTTTTTTTCTTAGACACCAAGTTAGAGAATATACAATCGATGTATTAACCCACTTGTGTGTCAGTCGCAACCTAACACTAACACTTCTCAGCTCACACTCATTTCACTCATTTTGTTGGCCTCAACTCAACGGGAGGTGTTAAATTAGGACCAAATGTTGTCAATAGTTTGCTCTAGCTTGTAAATAATTGTCCATTGCTGATTTTTATCCATTTTATACTCCATAAATAATATACATTTGGGCCACACTCTTACACTCAAAACACAATTTAACTAGTCTATTTGAGCACCCATGTATTTATTAAATTAACAAATATCTAACATATTAAATTGGACTCCACTATTATTTATTTATAAATTGACGCAAATTAATCTGGACACCCGATTATAAAAAAAAAATTAATCCAGACATCCAGTTATAAAAACAAAATTATAAACTTTAACACATGATTTAGCATATATTTTTTGACTAGTGCATTGCAACGGCTCTTAAGCCTTGTTTGGTAAGTGAATTTTTTAGCAAAAAAGTAAAAAAGTCACTAAAAAAATAAAAAGTCAACAATTTATACCAAAAAGTCAAATATTTTATTTTCTCTTTACTTTTTGCACATTTTTTTTCAGAAAAAACTAAAAGATCATCCTATATATATATATATATATTTACATTATATTTTAACTAAAAACTCAAAAAGTTACTAAAAAAATCTATTTTCAAACGAGGCCTTAATTCAAATGTCACTCACTAGTGGAAAATACTACTGTTTACCAATAAGACGGTAGAATTAAAATTATGAAAATCCCAACCAGAGAGAAAGAAAGAAAGAGAGACACAATTTAAAATTAAGGTTTATCATGAAAGGCACCAATAATACATTATTATTACTTTAAGAAAGAAGGTATAAAGGGTGGGTCTTCAATTTTGAATTAGAGCCGTGATTCCGATCTCCAGTACGGAAGCACCCTCAACACCCCTATCTCCACGTAGGGGGCTGACAATGGAGGAAAAGAATAAGAAAAAAAAAACAGTTTTTGACTAATGGGAGGAGACCCCCAGCACCCTCACTGGGGGTCCAACTCATTTTCGTTTGAATTAAGCCTTCATTTCAGAGACGACTCATATCCAGTAGGGTATCCCAACTGGAGGGTGAGGTTACTGTTGGGCTTTCATGAACTTATCACGGAGTCCGTATTGATAATTTGAATCGTTCAATATGTAAGACTCATCAAGTATTTTTATCTTTGCAAAAAAAATAACGTTCATTGGATATTGATAGCCATTTGATCAGATTACATTTGTATAAATAATTTATTTTTAAAATTATAATTACCGTTGACACAAATGTGATTTGATCAAATGACTATCGATATCTGATTAACGTGATTTTTTACAAGAATGACACGTTCGACGAACTCTCCACATTGTTTAGATTATTGATATGAACTCTATAGTAGACTCATAGAGACCGAATAGCATCCTCCAATCCGATTTGGAGGGAAGAGAGGCATGTGACCTTTCATTTCCTACCCATTTTTACACTTTACAACGCACATAGCATGTTACCAACACATGATTAAACAACTGACACCAATGCTTCCAGAAAATTGGGCTCACAAGTGACACCACGGTGGTCCTTATGATCCACAATTGTTGACATGAAAAATACAATGGTGCCACGCACTAATTACCATATCAATTAATTTATCAACACATGTTATAATAAAACAATTTTAAAATTATAAACCTCTATTCGTCATATAAACTATAAAAACTTAAAATCAATGTTACATCATCTATTAATATACTAATGTATATACCAATTAATACGTATAATTTTATTCTAAAAAACATATCTATCTATATTTCACACACCATGTATAACTGTACAGCCAATATCCAAAAATAAAATTAGATTTTTCTAATTTGAGTTTAAATAATATGTTTATGTTTAAATTTATTTATTTTAATCTGAACATATATATATATATATATATTGAAGTCCCAACTGACAAAGGCCTTGTTTGAAAATAAATTATTTTAGTAATTTTTTAATTTTTTACGAAAAGATATGTAATAAAAGTAAAAAAAGTGATATAACAATTTATAATGACTTTTTGACTAAAATATTTAATCTTCAAATGAGGCCCAAGTGTTCCTTTGAAAATTGGTAAATTAATAGTTGCATTTTTTTAATTTTTTTTGTCTGTAGTTAATTTGTTCTTTAAAAAAAATAAAATAAAATAAAATAATTGCGCATTTTAAGTCTTTCTAAATTAAATCCTCTTAAAAAAAAATTTAAAAAAAAAACAAAATTTGAAAAAAAATATATATATATAAAAAATAAAGTCATTGAAAATAATTTTTTTGTCTTTTATGATTTTCTTTTATTATTATTACTATTATTGAGAATCTTATATAAAACATAAAGAAAATTGACACAGATAGCCAAATATTCCACTTAAAAAAACACAGCTGGCAAATTTCCAGTGAACCAAACCAGTGTCAAAAAACTCAACCAAACGTGTCACTCCGAGCCTTCACCGCAAAAAAGGGCACCGCCACCACGCTAGTAGGCAAAAAGTCCAAAAGTACAAACATGTTCACATTACTTTACTATGACGTGTAATTTTTATATTTGCATTTTTAATAAAATTGATGCACAACAATACAATCCGTTCAACAATTATTTTATAGGCATCATTAATAAAAAATTTAAAAAAAAAGAGTGACAAAGTTTATAAGTTACGTATTTTATAATAATAATCAAGGAAAAATGCTTGGGAGCACTAATTAGTGCTCCCACTAATTAGGTGACAGTGGGTCCTGCCATTAATGATGTGATGTTTTGGTCTTGAAGTTGTATTTTTTTATTTTTTTTTTTACTTTTTTAATGCATTAGTGCTATTAGTGGTGATGTTTTTAATGGGATGAATCATTGTTGAATAATCAAGTTTTCGGGATGTGAATTGGTTTTTAAATTATTTTAGCATGACGTTAAAAAAAATCTCATGTGAGATAGGTTTTTTTTTTAACTTTTGTTAAAGAAAAAATAAAATAATTATGATTTGAATGTGATTTCTTATTGGAATAAAAAGTCTATTTTATTTTTTTGTGACTATTTTAACTCAAATCCTAAATTTCAAATGAAGCCTAAATGCAAAAATTTATAAGAAAATTCACTTTTCAAACACTCGCATTTGAAGAAATTTTTTTGTGTGTTTAGGAAGATAAATTTTTTTGTGGTTGAATATAATGTTTGTAAGAGAAAAAGTGAAATGATTATGAGGTTTGATGTGATATTTTGTTTGGATTTGTTTTTTTTAGTTTTGTAATCAATTTGTCTTTTAGTAAAAAAAATAAAAAAAAAAACCTAAAAAATTTGTTCCCAAACACCCCCAAAGTGAAAGGAGGAAATTCTGCTATACATTCCCTACCATATACACCCTTAAGTTATGTCATTTTTTTTTATTTAATTATGACTTTATTTAGTTATGCCTTATGTGTTTTTTATTATAATTTTTTTTTTAAATTATAACTTAAAAAATATAAAATTATATTATTTTTTTTAATTATAAAATACATATAATCTTTTCCATAACTTTGTCAAGTGATGAGTGATTATTAAGATTTTAAGGGATATGTTTGATAAATTTGAAAAGTGTCAAGTGCGGAGCAATCTTCTAGCATGACCAAATAATCACTCATTTTGACCTATTTTAGAGCATCTCCAACCTATCAGGTATATTATACTTGTTAGTTAAAATGTTTAGTATAACTCATTTTTTTCAACTTCAATGCACTAGGCATATGATTAGGCATTTTTGCTTAACTCACATTCACTAGCTACATGTAACTAGCCTTCAAGGCTAGGCAAAATGTATTTAATCATTAGGATCATTTCCTTCCATCTTTATTGCTGATGTGGCATTTTATAAAATTAATAATAATTAGATGAATAGCTAAAATAAAGAGCATGGTTGAAGTAAAAACATGAAATAATTGATAGACAAAATAAAATATATACTTTATAGTAATGTTTAAAAAGGTAAAATACCTATTACCGTTGGAGATGCTCTTAGAGAAGAAAAATGAGTAAGACCCTTTTTTTTTGGAAGACCTCACAATTCTTATATTGATTCACTCTATTCATGATATGTGGGGCCACTTATGTATGTGTGGAATCCATATCATGAAGGAAAATGCTAGAGGTTCTAAATTTTCTACCAAATAAATGACCAAATGTGTGTGGGGTCCACAAAATTGCGAATCCCACACCTATGTGAGACATTTGGTCATTTGTTTGGTAGAAAATTTGGTATCCCTAGCATTACCCTATTATGAATGGTGTGGTTCACTATGAGGGTTGTGGGGTCCTCCAAAAAGGAGTCTCTATCATTGATCTTTAGAGAAAAAGAAAAAAAATTATTCAGCTTGTTTCGTTATAATTTTCAAAAAAAATTATTTTTTTATTTTTCATATTTTAATGTTTTTAATATTTTTAAAAATATTTTAAGTATTTTTTTTAATTTTTAAACACACTTAACATAAATACACATAAAAAAATATAATATTTGTGAAAAATATCTTTAAAAAATATCTAAATACCAAAAAATATAAATAAAATAAAATAAATTTTCAGTATATTTTTTATATTTTTGTGTATTTATTTTTCTAATTTTCAAAATATGCATGCGATTAAAATGAACAGAGTGCAGTGTGGACTTACCAGTTCCCTTCTCAATCCAAGGCGAGACCATGATGGTTGGTACCCTGACACCCAACCTATCAAACTTAAACAAAAACGGCTCAGGTCCCACAATATCATCCGGACTAGGGACCCCACGAGTCGGCGTAACCACATGATCAAAGTACCCACCATGCTCATCATACGTGATGATAAGCAGTGTTTGATTCCACTGCGGACTCGCCCTGAGAGTCTCATACACCTCCTTCACAAACAACTGCCCCTGATACACATCATGCGAAGGATGATCATCATTAGCCGGTTCCAGCTTAGTATCCGTGTACCGCTGCTCCACCACAACATAATTCGGTAGCTTCCCGTTCTTCGCATCGCTCTTGAACGAGAGTCCATACGGATGAAACTTTCCTAGGTACTTGAGCTTTCTCAGATTCCGGTAAAACAAAGTCGCCGGAATATTCTGATAGTATATTCCGAACGACAATCCGGCGTCATCTAGGTTCTCGAATATCGTGCGTTGTGGATATCCTTTCGCTAGCATCGCCGGAATATTGCTGGTGGCTCCGGCGGAGGTGCCGGAGTGGACATAGAGGCGGTTCGGCTGAGTGGACGACGGCACGGCGGCGAACCACCGGTCGAACACGGCGAAATCGGAGACTAGGGCTTGGTAGACGGCGACTTTTTCAGGGACGAAACCGTTCATGACCGCCTGGGTGATGTTTGGGTTCATTGAATAGGCTTGTTGGACGAAGCCGTTCATGGGGGCAGGGTAGAGGGAGGTGTCGTTGGATCCGAAAATTTGTTCGCGGATGGCTTGGAAGGAGTGGCCAGGGTCAGGGTCGACGTAGTGGGCTTGGTTGTGGAAGTAGACGAGAGGGGAATTGGGGACGGTGGTGGAAATGGGATTGGATTCGGAGCCGGTGACTCCATTGATGTTGGGGTTAAGCTTTTTCATCCAACCTAAAATGTGGTCGAAGGAACGGTTTTCCATGACGAGGACCACTACGGTTTTGATTGGACTAGTAGAAGAAGAAGAGACTGGGTGGTGGTAGTAGTGGAAGAGAATTAGGAGAGTGAAAATGGTGAGTTTGGCGGTGGTGGCCGCCATTGGAGATCTGTATCAAAGGGGAGAGGAGAGAGAGAGAGAGAGGGGTTGCCGGAGAGGTGTGTAGGAAGGAGCAGTCGGTGAAGGGGGGTTTATAACAGTGGAGTGGAGTGGAGTTGTGTGGTGTGGACCTGTGGTGGGCCATTTATGCGTCATGCGTTGCGTGGGAAAAGAAGGGACGTGGCTTTGGAGTTGTTTGTCCTTTTGTCATGGTGGGAGGAATATCTTTTTTTCCCTTTCAACCAAAATCTAAGCCACCGGCGTTCTTAGAATTCTTTATTGAAATTTTTTTTAGCAAAGTTGGTAATTTTTCTCTTTTTTTTTTTTTGGTTTTTTTTTTTTTCTTTTGTACGCGCGGGCGTCTGTGAGAGAGAGAGGGAGAGATAGAAGTGGAGAGAAATTATAAAAACAATTCTGAGAATTTATTTAAAATATGAATTATTTTTTAATAATTTTAAAAAAAATATTTTGTCTCTTGAAAATTTTAATTTCATAACAAATAATTTATTAAGTCAATTAATAATCTTTAATGATATTAAAAATAAATTTCAATTAATAATTCATATAATTTTATTATTAGATAGGAGAGCTATTAAAAATTTTACTTTTTCAATTAATTTCGCCAAATAAAATATTTTGACAATGAAATAATTATAATTTCCTAATTCACAGCAAGCAATTTATTTGTAACTTATCCAAGGAGGTTCTTGTTGAATCATTGAAATTATCATTTAAATTTCCTGGATAATGAGATTGATTGTGTTGGAGAAGTTGACTATGACTTTGATCAGAAAATGATGATCATTTCGGATCTCGTTGAGGTTGTGACTTTTTTGTGTTAAAACAAAATTGTTATTGCAATTGTTGAGTTGATTTTAACATCGGCATTGTCTTCCGGTCTTTTAAATAGAGTTGTTTGATTGTAGTTTGGATTGCTGGGACTTCGGAGTTCCATTGAGAGTGGTATTCGAATTTTGAGGACAAAATTTCTTAAGGTGAGGAGGTTGTGATGCTCGGGTACATAACCCGTCTTGTTTCCTTTTAATCGTATTTATTTTACTCATGTTGGGAGTGTCGGGAACTAATCTGAGGCCTCGTCGGCCGCTTAGGTACATCGCTCTTGAAACCTTTCTCAAATTTATATCTTCATTTATTTTGGTTCCGGGGTTGAGTTTCTTTATTTCAAAAGCGTAGTTGGAGTCGAGGAGTCATGGGCTTGTGAAGCATACAAATCAAAAGAGGGAGCAAAACATCACGTACAGGGGCTTAGGCCACACGCGTAGAAGCGGGGCTGCACATGCGGAAAGTGAGGCCGCATGTGCTATAAGGGTGTGTCTTCTAAGGTTGGGGACTAAAATAATTGCACGTGCTGGAAGCATACCGCACGCGCGAGAGTGGACGTTGCACGTGCGGCGAAGTGGGATGTTTTGGGCAATCCTCTCTACAATAACCGCACATTAGGAAGGTACACTCTGTACGCGTAGGAATAGTACCGCGTGTGCAGGAAATGCTAAGTCTGAATTTTTTTTTCTTCTCTTTGGATAGAGTGTATCTCACACTTTTTCTCATCTCTCCCTCTCTGAAGTACATTTCTCTCCCCTATCTCTACATTTACTCTCACCAAACTCTATTCAATCGTTGATTTCTCTCAATCCATTAAGGAGTTGATGCAAGTGCCTTAAGCAAAGTTAGAGAGCTCACCAAGGACTATATTATGTGCAGTGGAGATTGGATTTCTACATTGTTGATTTTGGAACTTTTCTCATATTTCCTCTTCAAATCTTGAGGTAGGAAGTTTCTTTGAGTTATATATATATTAGCAGGTCTTGTTTAGTTTTGTTATGATTTTGAGTAAAGGATTGAGTTTTGGAGTGTTGGGTTTTGGAAAGATGTTGAAAAATGATTCTCTTATGATCTTGGTTCAAATTAAATTATTTTGGTGGGCCTATAAACCTCTTGGGTGTGCATGGAGGAGAAATATTTTGAAAATAAAGGAAAACCCCCTCTTATTGACTAAACCCTAGATTTTGGGAGGAAAAAAATGGGCAAAATTGGATTTTGTGAGATACCCATGAAATTGTGGAAAATTTCTTTAAGAAAATGATGAAATTATCACATTTTATTATGTTGAGTGAGAAAATTTGGATAGCAAGAAATTGTATATACTTGGGGCAAATAAAATGAAGATGAAAATTGATTGTGAATATGAATTGGTGTCATAGGATATGATTATTGATATTTAAATTGAGAACATAGAGAGATGTTGTTAATTTGTATTGCATTAAGGCTCAATGTTGAGAAAAAATATGGAAATTATATAATTGTATTTAGATCCATTCATTTGCATAGCTTTGAATATTGATTATTATGACTTTGTTTTGGAAATTGATTGAGAAAACAATTGATGATCTTAAAAAGGTTTTAGGGGTAAACATGGTGGTAAGTCTGAATATGGGTGTAGTTTGGCATTGTTTAAGTTGGTCTGAGTGTCCAGGGTGAAAGACCTCAACACACATGAAGTAGTTACCACGTGCTTTCTGGTTAGGAACTAGTAAATTGGGGATTAGTAGTGCTTGATATGCCTACTTGCAAGCACCAGCCTAGGGATTACTTGAGTCGTATTTATCACCCCATTGTGTATTATAAATTTACTTAGATGTTGTATCTTTGAAAAAGCATTGCATATGATTTTCAAAAAGGAAATAAAAATACGGATTTTTGGAGCATGACATTGCATAGCATGCATATTGTGAGATTGTTTAAACATATATACTTTGTTACAATATTTCTACTGGACTTTGTGCTCATTCCTAGTGGAATTATGCAGGAAAAGATGTGGTGATTCCGCTTATCTAAAGCCGAGGAATATGTTTTGAGAGCACGAGTCTCTTTTATTTTTTTGCTATATGTTTTGACAAGCTAAGGTTGTAATTGTATGGGTTTCTAGATAACCATCTTTTGTGCAACCGGACTTAAGCCTTGGAACTTGTAGCCTTTAAGGCATTTATTTTGTGTTACCACTTTTGTTTTCATCGTCGCACATGCTATGGATTCACTCTTTAAAAGTCTGAATATGCATTGCATGTGGACTCTTTTTGTAAATCTCTTATATGAATGGAATACAATATGGAGATTTGACCACTTGATTTAAGATTAGTGTAATTGAGTGAGTTTATCAAATTTATCTTTTGTTATTTATTTGGGGGCGTTACAACTTAGTATCAGAGCTACCGGGTTCGAATACTAGGAGCTCATGGGAGGCAATTTTACCACATGGTTTCATTTTGCTAAGTAAGAGATGTGCCATGTTTTAAGTGTTGCATGATAACATGTTTATGTAACTAGATGGGTATGAGATTGAAATTTTAGGATGTTGTTTGCGTCCATTAAATTCTTTGAAGTCTTATTAGAAGGGCGTCTGATGAATGCTTGTTCTAATAAGAACTCTTAGTATTTCATAGGACAAACATTATCTTGAATGAGTAATGTCACAACCCAAACCCGCCCCTATGGGTTTAGTATTGTAACCGGCCAATAATCCATGATTACCAAAGGCCTGTTTAACAGTAAGGACAGTGATACAGAGTAAGGGCTGGCGGAAGCCAAACAGTAAATAAAAGATGTCCAATGAGCTGTGAAAATCTGGATGGAAAAGACTTTTATGGACAAAACCACATTCATAACCATAAACATATATATATATATACATATCAGATACACATATAAACTGGGTTAGGGACCTAATCCCCTCACCATAACTATACAGTCAAGTCTTAAATAGTCGATATATAACAGAGACAAAAGGGTGAATCTGAAACACCCCCAAAAACAGCCTTGGCTCGGGCAGACTCGAAACCTCGAAGTGAGGCACAACAGTTGGCTGGACAAAACATGAGCTTAACTTGACACCTCTAGCTTCAGTTCGGTGCCTGGCCACCTACATACATATATAAACTGTGAGCTAAAACCCAGTGAATAACAATTGTGTAAAGGAGTTAAGAATGGATGTCCTTTCAGTAATTGAAACAGTCATTTGCATCAGTAGATCAGTTATTCAATCAGTGGCTCATATTTCATGCCATATCAGTCATTTAAAAATCATAGCAATCATACGTGATACATCCAATAGCAGAACAATACGGTAGGTCTTAATAGACCGAACAGTCAGTTGATGGCCATCGAAACAGTACACAGTATTGGTTCCAAACATTGGAACTAACAGAGATCTCTGTAACAGTAGCAGTAACAGTAATAATACAGTAGCAGTAACAGTACAGTAACAATAAGTTGCTATGGATGCCACGAGTACAGTTCATAAAATAGGACAAATATTCATTTAGTAAACAATGTCACTTCAGAAAGCAGTACAGTCGATCGTTCAAAAAATAATTATAATTGAATATATCTTTACAACATTGTTACTCACAGAGTACTGGGCTATAGGCAGGCTAATCAGCTTCCTCGGATGCCAACCCTACACAGTTGTAGAACGAACATATACTAAATTACATACTCGGGATTAAAAACTTAGCCCCTAACTTGACTTGGTGTGGTTCTACATCAATAGCCTCATTAAGATGCCTTAAACATGGCCTAGGAATGCCTAGGATGAGATGAGGATGCAAAAATGCACTTAACAACATTTTTCAAAACTTGCTGAAAACAGGGGCCTCGCTCGAGCGTGGATTTCTCCGCTCAAGCGAGCCCATCGAAACAGAGAGGTCACTCGAGTGTAGACTCCCTCGCTCGAGCGATCTGCAAAAACATGAAAAGTACTGGTTGCTGAAATTCTCCGTTCGATGCTCGCTCGAGCGTGAGACACAGTTCCTCGCTCGAGCGTAGATCTCATCGCTCGAGCGTGCGTCTGCACACGCAAAAACCTAAGAGCTTGCAATTTACGCTCGAGCCAGCATTCCGTCGCTCGAGCAGATCTCCGAACACAAAGGTGGTCGCTCGAGCGTGGAATCCTTCGCTCGAGCATGGAAGCCAAAATCTGAGTTTTCCAGATTTGCTCTCAAATCTCAAACCAAGAGTCAAACATATCAAAACTCATCCTTTTGGGCCAATTTTCTGGAAAA